AGTCAGTATTCACATTTTCTTTTATGCCATCATGCCCATTCTCAACTAGATCTACACTACCAATCATACTGATAGATTAAGCAAACTGCCTTGACAAAATCTTCTGGCTATTGATAGGGTTCGAACGGAGTCGAATTTAGCAAAGGCAGCACTTTGTTTTTGTTACTCTCCAGTCTGTTTTGACAAAGCCACAGTCGTACGTGGGTCACGCCGTCTATACGACAAGTGAACACCTCAACAAGGCACTGAATCTGCGTGACTCACTCGCCCTATCGTCACTGAGCTGCAAAAGTGGCACTTGGGCGGTTGAATCACGTGGAAATAGGGGACTGGTGTGATATAGGCGATTGGTTTACTGAAGGATTGAAACCCTTTGCAGTAATCTTTCAAACTAGGGATTTTAACCTAAGGTGTTTTGACGGTTGTACGACATAAAGGGATCAAAAAGTGATTTTCGAAAATTTTGTCACTTAGGCGGTTGAATCACGCTAACGCTCACTGAAATAGAACATATTCAAGGCAAAGAAGATAGAGAAGAACTCTAAACGATGAATGAAAGAAAAGATAAGGATTCAGGCTCTTTCAAAAGTACTGTTTTAGTAAGTGTTTTACGCCACTTGCAACACGACGAGGTCATATAAGCGCCGAAAATCAGAGGTGTTACAAGACAGTAACAAAAACAAACAAGGAGGAGAGCTGAGGACGATAGCTGTTTAATAGAAAAGAAGGAGTAAACCACACCAGAGCACCCGCACCTTCCCATGCCTAGAAAGTACAAATGTATTGAAAAGAGACAGATTGACTTAATAGTAACAAAAATGCGGAATCAGGTCATAAAAAGGTAAATTAATTAAATCAAGATGAGTTTCATGACGACTACAGAAAGTGTATGAACAGAAACATAGCTTCTATGCATGAAGAGAAATTCGACCATACTACACAATTAAAGTCTTCGAGATCTTTTTTTTCCCCTCTTTGAGACCAGCATTGTACGCTTTTTTTTTTAATAGTAGAGGGTTTTACGGCGCTTGCTACTGCATAAAGTCATATAAGTAAACATGCATACTCTGACATTCTGCTGGAATGTCAAAACAACGTACCAAAACAAAGCTCAAACAAGCTGGGTTGACCAGGGGCTAAGGCTGGCTTGTTTTAGCGGGGTAATTAAAGTGAGACAAGGATCCAGATAGAGATGAGGTAACACACGAATAGATTTTCTGCATTAGGAACATAAGAAACGAATCGTCATACTTGAAGCGGATCACTGAGTTGTGAATGGGAACAGATCCTGAATTTATAGTGAACGTTCAACTGCCATAATAATCGGGAAAATACCTCATTAAATATAAATTATTATGTGTTCCACCTCAGTCCACCTCACCTTTTTAGGTAGACTCTGCCAGTCTAATTGTTAGCCTATATAATCAGTGCTTTTGACTGCTTATAAGAGGGGCCCAAAATGAGTCAATAGGCTATTTATGTTGCTCTGGAACAGCTTTTGAGTGTTGTGCACACGTTCCTTTCATCGCTTTGAGCTAGACTCTACCAGTTTAATTGTAAGCGTACGTAATCAGTGCTTGTGGTTGCTGATGAGAGAGGCCTGGAAGGGGTGAATGGGGTATTTATGTGGCAATGAAACAGTTTTGAATGTTGTGCATTCTGTTTATTGTTGATTCAGAACGTTTATATTTGGGCTGATGCAGTTCGCCTCCTTAAGTGTCTCTAATTATTCGATGAAAAAATGAACATAACTCAAACAGCATCGACACAAACAGGGAAAGAACCGTCAACGCTAACA